TATACCTGAATTTCCTTGTACTTGTAGAAAAAAATTTACAATATGATCGAGAGAATATCACCATCGTGTTCAGCTTGAAAAGTTACCTAGACTCCATAGAAAATAAAAAACGTGATTGTAAAAATTTCCGCCCAATTGGTGACTTACACACATTGCACATTTTGCTAGAAATATGGATCTCGTAACCAGCCAATTCTGGAGATCCCACGTTGATTTCTATATAGGGTTGTAGTCCATTGAGAGTACTTTCTAATGATAACATCCAGCACCCCAGATGACCCGTATGTTGGGAGATAATCTACTCGGAAAATCGACATTTTTGCAAAAATGCCATTTTTTGAATACATGTTCTAGCCGAACGGATCAATCAAACTGACTGAAATTTTTAGGAGACGTAGATCTCTAAAGACTCTATTTACGGTAAAAAGTTCAGACTCCTATCTCATCCCCATCACAAGTTATGAAGAGTCAAACTTACCAAAAAAATTCCATTTCCCGTATTTTCGATGACTCATAATTATCGAATAGTACTATATTTTGGGACACAAATTTTATTACAGGTAGACCTCACGTAGTTGTGCTTCCATACGAAATTTGAGCTAAATTCATAAAGGTTTTGTCGAGATATGGTCAGATCTAGACCCCCTTGGAGAAGGTGGCATTTGTAGGGTTTTTCGTAAAACCTTCATAAAAAATAAATGGTTCAATGTTTTTTCAAAAATCTTTCACAGAAATGCTTAGAACTCTTGGCTCTATAACATATCATAAAATGAGCCCGATCTGATGACCTCGATTGAGCACCTTCTCCGTAGATCGGTCGTGGTCTACATGGACTGACTCATACACACATGTCATACCTGTAGTTTTATCAATTTAAAGAATGATTAAAATTAACCAATTGTTTTGTCTTCGTCATCAACTTTGTATATGGTTTAAAAATTATAGGATTCAATAGCTTTTGGTCTTTTTATCATGATTTTCACGTGATGTCTTTCAATAAAAGAAACAGTGCTGAAAGGTAATGGCATCTATATGAGAAAGTTAAAAGTCTATTTTTAAATAGAAACTAACTAAAATATGATTACATATATAAGAAAAAAGGAGAATAAATATCTTTAAAATAAATAATTTTAAGTCCAATAGTGGTGCGACGTGATCAAGAGTGCCAAATAACAGCGCCAGTAGAATTGTAAACTTGCAAATAGGGAGAAGTTGTATTGAACAATAATTTTGCACCCGAAGGGTTTGTGCCTGTTGCCCAAAGAGCTCCTTGATCACCATATATTACAACGTTTCCGTCTTCTTGAAATGAGAGAAAGCAACCTTTGCTGCAGGTTTTCACGCCGAGAGAAGTCTTCCACAATAATGTTCCTGTGCTAATGGCTCCACTGTATATAGCAAGATTTCCGTTATTCAACAAGGTAAGATAAATAGGCGTGGTACCTACCATTTGGCGGACAAAATTGCCATTGTTGAGAAGAAAGGAAGGATAAAAATCATAGGAAGAGGCCCATATATAATTGTTATTGCCATCAATGAAAGTGAAATAAGCACTCATACTAGAGATACGAACAGAACTAGATGTCAAGTTGCCGTTATAAGCAGGTGGCCATGAAATTAATATTTTTTTTTGTTTATATATAACTAATCGACCTTCACTAGTGAAGGTGAGTCTGCATTGTTTATTAGTGCAGTCAGTACAACAAGTATTCGATGCCCACAGCGGAGAATCCCCCTGATAGAGAACTAAATTTCCGTCAATTTGCAGGATGAAAATAGCATTTTGCAAATTGATTTGTTCATCGGAATATAAATTCAACTGTCCTGATTGATAGGTGTAAGTGCTAGAGAGACCTGGTTCTATACAGATGATGTACTGAGCTCTGCCCAAAACAAAGTTTGATTGAAAATTGCCGTCAGCTCTAGTACTTTTTAGAAATGCCATTGGAGGCGCATTATTAGGCGTGTAACAACTCGAAGTAAAAGCACCACTGTAATTCGCGGTAGAGATATTGTCTAAGACAGTAAAATTATGTGCACCAGAGACAATAATACCATAACCCATATTATCACCCTTAATTGTATTGCGACGAACTATACCATTGCGGTTGTAGTTTGTTTTATCTGCTCCCCACACAGCTGGGCCAATAGAAATACCTGTTTTAATGAATGCTGATTTAGCCCAAATAGTATTGTCCGTAACTGTAGCACCAGTATAATCTCCGGAATATTGATCATAATCTACCATGTTGATAGCACCCAGAATCACGCGAGATATAGCAATGATAGTATTGTTTTTGACTGTGGTAAAAGGAGCACCAAAAATCACAATAGCACCATCTGTAGCATCTGTAATTACATTGTTTGCAACCAAGCTACTTATGCACGCCATGGATATGCCATCTGCCCAATGACCAGCAGAATCGCCTGCGGGACCTATTTCATTGTTAGTAATAGTTGCATTCCTGCAACCACTTATTCCACTTTCGGTGATATGCAGACATGACCATCCTCGAGGTTCGTAGGAATGTACATGGTCCACAAGTTGGTTACTAGTAGGTCCTCCAATCTCAATATTCGCACTACCCTCAAATAATCCTAGAGCTGGTCTGTTACCATTCACTTGGATGTTTCGAAGTCTCAAACCAGAACATTGATCGCAGTTACCTATAATTGCAGCAGTCTGATTAACACCAGTGACAACAAGAGTCGCACGTGTAGAGTCTGTAGAATATCCTTGTGTAGATAATTCTTGATTAGGAGCTGTAAAAACGATTGGATTTTTCAGATTGAATACGCTATTGGCACAGAGAGATACTATGGCATTGGCACCTCCACTAGAGAGTAGATCATTAATAGTAGTTTCATCACCACTTAAGATACATGCTGTATAAGCCGTTGGAATTAGTGAGAGTACTCCAAGAAGAAAAGAATTGGTGTGAAGCAGAAAGAAAGTCATAATTGTTAAAATACTGTTGGCAATCAAGTTGGTTCAAACAATTATTAGGTCCCACATTCAGAAATAAAAAAAAATATCAAATAAAAAAATAATAATATTTGACTACTCGGCGATGATTCAATTCTTATCATGCAAAGAAGACAACACTTTCAAGGGTTCGTTTTGTTGCTGAGAACAAAAAAGACAAAAATTTTTCTAAAAACCCACCATGAATGAAAAACGCCTCTTGTTGAATAAAAGAAATGTGTTCTTCCCTTTTGTTTTGTTCTTTGATTTCTATTTCGACAGCTGACGAAAAAAACATTAAGCACTCAGGATAGTTTTATTTCCCCCCTTAATATATGTTATCTGCAAAAATCATACTCCGCGTGGGATCGTAGTTTTTAGTTTTACTGAAACATTTTATTAAGGGTGTAGGTGGGTGTACATTGACCAAAGGGAAAAAAGCCAGACTTCTTGCTTCACCGTACTTCACTTGTACTTCAGTCGTGAAGTGCGGATAACGCGAAATTAAAGTAAATTTTTATTTCGCTTTTTATACTTAGTTAGATAGAGCTCGCCGAACTGAGTAAGAATATATCTGTTTTAATATTTTTTCAAAAGGGTTTTGATTGGACAAGCTCACGCTTTTTCGATAACCTTCAATGGCCCATTTTTTAAAAGAAAATCCAACACATTCCTAAATTCTTAAAAGTTTTTTCAATTAAAAAAACACTTCATTTCGTTGGAATTTTCAAAATGAGATATTCAGATTTCTCATGAAAAACTCTGGCGATTGGACCTATTTTTGATTTTGTTTAGTGAAACTATGCTTATCAAGTGGATGAAGTCTGGCAGAAAGAAACACGTGAAAAAATGGTATGTCATGGAATTTTTTGCAAATCTATCCAGTTTCTTTTGCATCTCGAGGCATAACTGAGTTTCATATATCGTTAGTACTGGCAGACATTGGGCTTCAAAAGTATAGCTTTGGTTTTTCGAGTTATTGATGTATTGGAAATGAAGACTATTCAACTCTGGCTCAAGACCCAAAAAGCAGGAAATTCTGCCAGTAATTCGAGATTCTCTTTATCAAAAATCACTCGTTTTGAGAAACAAATAGTATACTCGCAATCAGCACAAAAAAGATGCGTCGACTAAGATAATTTCGTTTACCTCCTGAAGATTTCAATTTTTTGACAAATTTTGACCCCACCACATGGGTCTAGATTTTCATGAAAAAATGAAAATCAAGGAAACAAGTTAACACATATCTTAGTCAACGCAAGTGTTCTATGCTGATTGCGAGTATACTATTTGTTTCTCAAAACGAATGAGTTTTGATAAAGAAAATTTTGAATTGCTGCCAAAATTTCCTGCTTTTTGGGTCCTGAGCCAGAGTTGAATAGTCTTCATTTCCAATACATCAATAATTCGAAAAACCAAAGCTATACTTTTGAAGCCCAATGTCTGCCGGTACTAACGATATATGAAACTCAGTTATGCATTGAGATGCAAAAAGCTGGATAGATTTGCAAAAAATTCCATGACATACCATTTTTTCACGTGTTTCTTTCTGTCAGACTTCATCCACTTGATAAGCATAGTTTCACTAAACAAAATCAAAAATAGGTCCAATCGCCAGAGTTTTTCATGAGAAATCTGAATATCTCATTTTGAAAATTCCAACGAAATGAAGTGTTTTTTAATTGAAAAAACTTTTAAGAATGTAGGAATGTGTTGGATTTTCTTAAGAAAAGTGGACTATTGAGTGTTATCGAAAAAGCTTGAGCTTTTCTAATCAAAACCCTTTTGAAAACATATTAGACAGATATATTTTTACTCACCTCGAAGAGCTGCGTCTAACTAAATATAAGAAATAGAAAAAAAATCACTTTTATGTTGCGTTATCCGCACCTTACCTCACTCGTACTTTACTGTATTTCACCTTTACTTCATCGTACTTTACCGTACTTTACCGTACTTTACCGTACTTCAACGTACTTCACTGTACTTCAATCGTACTTGACCGTACTTCAGTCATACTTCACCGTACTTTAGTCGTACTTCACTGTGCTTTACTTTTACTTCAGTCATACTTCACTGTACTTCAGTCGTACTTCGCTATATTTCACTCATATTTGACATGATTAATTCTCTTCTTTTATTTTATTTTTAATTAATTTAATTTACTGTTTTGTTATTCATTATAATTTAATATTAATAATTTATTTAAATTTAAAATTTGTGACGTTTCGTATCTCGATGAGATACTTCTTCAGACATAAAAATCAAGACAAATGTACATAAGAACAAACAAAATTTTTCTTGTCTTTAGTATTAGTCATACTTTGACAGTGATACGTAAAACAAGACGGTAAAAGTGATAGCTAGATAGGGATCGAATCCTTTTCCGTATCACTATCAAAGTATGACTAATACTAAAGAAAAAAGTTTGTTTGTTCTTATGTACATTTGTCTTGATTTTTATGTCTGAAGAAGTATCTCATCGAGATACGAGACGTCACAAAAAGATTTTAAATTTAAATAAATTATTAATATTTAATTGAAATAAATAACAAAGTACTAAATTAAATTAATTAAAAATAAAATAAAAGAAGAGAAATAATCATGTCAAATATTAATTCCAGCTTCTTATCAAAACATGATTCACAGGAATAGTTCACTGTTATCAGGTAGGACAAAAACAAAAATTACCCTCGGAATTAGGGGAAAAAATGACTGAAGAGTCGTCGATAGGGATAAAAACAGTTACCGTCGGAATCAGGGACAAAAAGTAGCTAGCCGTCCCAATTAGGGACAACTTTTTTTTCGCTATCTCTGGGTGCCTGTATTCAAAGCTCTGTATCTTGATAAATGAAAATACAGTTGCTTTGAACCTTTAGATTATGATAGAACTAGATGCGCTCAACAAAAATGTCTCAGACATCTTCTCTTCATTTCCCATATAAAAAACGAAAAAAAATAGGTTTTTTTCTAAAGTTGAGTTTTTTCTATGTGATTTGTTAGAGGCGTCATAATTAGGGAAAATTTTTGTCTGGCCGTCAGGATTAGGGAACTACTACCTAATTCTGTCGGGTGAAAGAAATTTTTGTAGACCAGTAATTTCACTATGAAAACATGAAAAATGCAAGACCAACAATATATCGTTTGAAAGAGGAGAATCCAGAGATTAGCTAAATATAAAAATATTTTTGATCAGATTTAAAATAGTCGCACAGTAGTTGAAACAAAAAATGGTAAATTTTTTTCCGGCAGAATTAGGAAAATGTACTGTACCCGCAGACAAATGAGTATAGTGTTGGTTTGTTATTACTGATGATATTATTTGTCAGAGCGTTCTGCCGAATTAAAGTCTTTGTTGTTTTATAATGTTGCAAATAACAGTTTAAGTAAGTGGTTCTGTTTTTATAAATAATAAGCAGTGATAAAGATGATAAATGGCTGGTCGTTTTCGTTATAATAGCATAGGTAGAAGTACGATGTTGTTTTTCATTTATTAGCAACTTATGAAATTTGAAAAGTTAGGTTCCGCAATTGAGTTTATTTATCGTACATTAACATGGAATGTAATATTATTAAGAAAATTTTGATATTTCTAATTTGTCATTACCGCCCAGGTCAAAAAAGCACGACCGTAAACGATCGTATACGACGAAATACGTCTAGAAACGGTCATCGTATACGATGATCGTATACGATGGACGTACACGATGCCATACGTTCAAGTACGATCAACGTATACGTTGCAAATAAACAACTGTCATGCACGATTGTAGTATACGACCGTATATGGTCGTAACTTAGTCGTAGGTTTCTACATCGAGAAATCATATAGAAAGATCGGTCATGAATTTTTGTATGATTCTATCAGATCTTACAAACTATTGTATATGATCATACGATATCATACGGAAAATCATACGAAAAATTGTTGTCTCAGAAATCTGATGTCAAGTCTTACATCAAGTTTCTTATATGCTCCGGCAATAAAATCTTGTATGATTTTTTGAAATCGTCAAGTAAGATTATAAGTTATTTCTGTAACAATATGCGAGTTCATGACGTAAATGAATTACAAAATAATTCAAAATTTCTATACTAAATATTTATAGAAGTACATGCATGTAATTATAAGAAGTTTATTCTCATATACCAAAGTCTAGCAGGATCTACCAGGACCTCCAGGATCTACCATCATCTTCAGGATCTACCAGAGGCTACTAGGTTTTTGCGGCACCCCCACCGAAGAAGACGTGATGTAAGGCGTTTCGTCGCACCAACACCAAGAGAGACATGATGTAAGTCGTTTCGCCGCACCCACACCAAGAGACAGATGATGTAAGTTGTTTCGTGGCACCCACATTGAGACCGTAGTAGACCCTGGTAAATCCCAGCAGATCCTAGAGATCCTGGTAGATCCTGAAGGACCTGGTAGATCCTGGTAGAAAATAAAAAATTTCGAATTATTTTATAATTCAATTTTTTTGAATTACTTTGTAATTCATTTCCATCATCCAGTGCAATATGCTTTATTCGTTACACTCTACCTGCATCTAACTATTCTAATTCAAGTTAACTTCACATAAGCAAGAACAATCTAATTAATAAACGTAATGCAGACGTACCAACAAAGGGAATTATCATTAAATAATAAAAATTCATAACCAATTAGTCACAAAAAAGTCTGGCATAAAGAAATGTCCTCTCTATACTATTAATAAAGAAAACTAAGAAATAAAGTTAAGATTTTCTCTACGGAGAGTATAGAAATAGAAAAAAAGCGATGAAAATTTATATTTTCTATATTATTACAATAAAAAAATAAAAAATGAAACTAAGGGTAATCTATATTATCAATATAGAAAAAGGAATTACAAATGGGATTCTCTGTATTACTAATATAGAAAAATTAAAAATTAAAATTAAGATTTTCTATAAAATTAATATTCAAAAATAAGAAAAAAGTTTAGGATTTTCTATATTACGAATATAGAAAA